AGCAAATACTGGCCTCTGAAGTTTTGTCACTGGGACACCAGACTGCTAGTCTGATATGCCTCAATTTATGAATGGCTTCTTACTCAAATAAACTCTAAAATTTTATAGTGCCGCAGGTTTTTTGTCGACAGGACTAGTTTGAAGATCTTATTTATGAAAATAGATCTTAAGTTCAAACTGATTCTATTAAGTGTACTTAAAAAATCCACTTAGAGAGATAAAATACATGAATGAGTTCAGTTATTTTTCTTGAAAACTCACTTCCATATAGGCACTCACAAATTACTTCAATCCCCTGTATGTCAAGGAAATCCATCCCAAGAAAGGCAAGGTTTGCTCTGAGTTTGCTAATGCAGGAAGAATTTCATAGATTTATTTTTTTAAGTTTTTTTAAAAAATTATTTATTTATTGAACCCCATTTGTTATAACTTTTTAATTTGACCAGAGCAAGACAGAGAGAGAAAGGGAAAGCAAGAAAGCAAGAAAGCAAGTCATCAGGTCCAGGACTTGAACTGCAGTGGGCCATGTGGGAATCCAGTGCCTTTAACCACCATACCACCTCCTGGTCCTGTCCAATTGATTTGTCTCTTCAGGTTTTTCCTGGAGGGTTGGAAAATGGCTGCAGGAGCTCCAGCATCAGCACTTACACAATACTGTGAATATCAAATGCCACCAAATGAGGGCAAAATGCCCTATGAAGTCGACAGAAAGAGCATGTGCCCCCAGTAAGCTCTGCTACATTCTCCTCCCGACCCCTAGGATCCTATAGGATCAATGGCCTGTTCAGGCCCAGCAGGGATCTGAACCCCAGGCCCTCCCACATGGCTCCAGTACCCTGCAGTGGCGTCCTGTCATCTGTGCTTCTGTGGCTGGCCCTGCCTCTTTTCTAAGAGGGAAAGGGGATCCTTCCCAGAAACCCTGCTAACTTCCCATAGGTAGGTCACTAGCCAGAACTGTCAAGAGTTATTTAGAAATGTTTGACAAAATGAGAGAGACTTTACATCTTGAAAAATGTGCCAGGCCAGTGCTTTGGTGAGCAGGTGAATTCTCTGGGTATCTTGTTAAAATGCAGCTATTGATTTGATAGACCTGGGGTGGCTTAGGCGTCTGCAGAAAGGGAAAGCAAGAAAGCAAGAAAGCAAGTCATCAGGTCCAGGACTTGAACTGCAGTGGGCCATGTGGGAATCCAGTGCCTTTAACCACCATACCACCTCCTGGTCCTGTCCAATTGATTTGTCTCTTCAGGTTTTTCCTGGAGGGTTGGAAAATGGCTGCAGGAGCTCCAGCATCAGCACTTACACAATACTGTGAATATCAAATGCCACCAAATGAGGGCAAAATGCCCTATGAAGTCGACAGAAAGAGCATGTGCCCCCAGTAAGCTCTGCTACATTCTCCTCCCGACCCCTAGGATCCTATAGGATCAATGGCCTGTTCAGGCCCAGCAGGGATCTGAACCCCAGGCCCTCCCACATGGCTCCAGTACCCTGCAGTGGCGTCCTGTCATCTGTGCTTCTGTGGCTGGCCCTGCCTCTTTTCTAAGAGGGAAAGGGGATCCTTCCCAGAAACCCTGCTAACTTCCCATAGGTAGGTCACTAGCCAGAACTGTCAAGAGTTATTTAGAAATGTTTGACAAAATGAGAGAGACTTTACATCTTGAAAAATGTGCCAGGCCAGTGCTTTGGTGAGCAGGTGAATTCTCTGGGTATCTTGTTAAAATGCAGCTATTGATTTGATAGACCTGGGGTGGCTTAGGCGTCTGCATTGTAACGAGTTTCCGGGTAACGCCAATGTGTCCGGTCTGGGGACACACTTGCTACTTCAGGTAGCAAGTCTACCAACATGTGACCATAATTTCTATTTTTAGTTGTACTTTTTAGTAGTATCTTATACATTCCACGTGCTCCAGACTAGCGCTCTAAGATAGTAGCCACACTGCTAAGTGATTAAACTAAGATAGTTTCTTAGCTGCACCACCCACGTTTCATATGTTCGAGAGCCACGTGTGGCTTAGTGACCAGCTCATTGGACAAAACATACATAAAAATCAACTCCATGAGCAAAGGAAGTCTTACAGGACAGCACCGCTACTGAGAAGCCACTCTAGTTCTTTAGGTTTTGCTGTCAGCATGTATGTAACAGGAGGGCACGCGTATCTGCTAATCAAATTCGTCTTTTAAGAATTATCTTGAGTCTACTTCTTCTATAGAACCTTAGTCCATTATTCACTTTTTATTACCAACGGGCATGAACACTAGCCAGAAAGATACATAGAAAGCATTCCCTCAAAGGGATGTAGCCGTGCTGCGATACTTTTCCTCCATTCCATCAGGATTTTGAGGAACCACACTCAGTGCATTTTTCAAACTGCTGGAGCTGGAATTCACTGTGGTCGGCCCTGTGGGCTCCAGCTCCCATAACCACTGTGCAGGGCCGGCCCATTAGTTTACCCACTAAGATCAAATCCTAAAACATGAAACTTTGGGGGACTAACCGTCACTGAAACCGTAAGAGAACCTTTCCAGAAATCAAACTAGGTGTGCTTTTATTGCTTCCTTAAAATCTGCAATCTGTATTTGGTCCTCTGAAATGTATTTCTGCTGTACTTTGCCCGCCTCGCACCCGACTCCCGTTTCTCTGGTTGGAGAACCCCACTGACTGTGGGTCTTCACTCATTTGCCCATGTGATTCGGTTGCACCTAACTCTACACTTGTGGCTACAGTCACATACGCATATGCGCCAGCTGAGAGCCAGCGGCAGCAATCCCAGGACATTTGCTGAAAAAGAACTAAAGGAAGTGTCTTTCCACTGGGGCCTCTCAGCCCTCTGGATACAAACCTGGATCTGCTGGTAGCCATCTTGCCAAAAAAACTGGCAGGCCTCGCCTGAGAATGAGAACCACTGAGAAGTCCCAAAGGGCAGCAGCTATAGCCGCACCTGAGTGCTTCTCATCTACCCTGGAATGTCGGTTGCTGGGGATTGCTTCCTACTTTGCTTAAATTGGTTTGTATTGAAGGAGTCTGGTCTATTCACTGTCACCTCTCAAGGCACTTGTGTTTTGCTTTGATATGTGACGTGGTCCTTGCTAATTCTCTTTACTCCACTTTGATCTAACCTTCCAAGCCTTCAAAACCACAATCCCCCAGTTGGTTTCTTACTGGATGTCCGTAGGAGGCATTGTGAACATACACCCACCTGTCCTTTACCACTTTTTTTGGGGGAGAGGTTTTTGCTATAGGGCGTGTGCGCTTGCCAGAAAGAGAGAGAGACAGAGATAGAAAGCGAGAAATCACCCCCCAGGAGAGATGGCCATTCTGCAATCCCTTCTCCTCCATTCTCCTCTCAGGACCTTGGGCATGCATGCACATGCGCCCGGCATGAGTTTAAGTCACTGGGTCTGGGACTTGAACCATGGTTGACTACATGGGAGTTCAGCGACATAACCATTATGCCAACTGCTGGTCCCTTCTTTACTTTTTTTTTTTGAGAGATTTTCGCTATAGGGTGTGTGCGCTCGCCAGACAGACAGAGAGGGACATAGAGACAGAAAGTGAGAAATCACCCCCCAGGGGGTATGGTCATGCCGTAATCCCTTCTCCTCCATTCTCCTCTTGGGATCTTGGGCACGCACGGCCTCCGGGTCCGTGACACGAACCGCGGTCGACTATGTGGGAGTCCAGACATAGTCAGTATGCCAACTGGTTCCCCCTTCTTTACCACTTTTTTTTTTTTTGGAGAGCTTTTTGGTATAGGGCACGTGCGCTCGCCAGACAGAGAGAGACAGAGAGATAGAAAGCGAGAAATCACTCCCCAGGGGGGATGGCCATGCTGCAATCCCTTCTCCTCCATTCTCCTCTCAGGATCTTGGGCACACACGCACGCACATGTGCCCGGCGTGAGTTTTAAGCCACCGGGTCTGGGACACGAACCGCGGTCGACTATGTGGGAGTCCAATGACATAGCCATTATGCTAACTGCTGGCCCCCCCCTTCTTTACCACTTTTAACATTCAAAAGTTTACATGTTGATAATTAACATTTTATGAAGTCGAATACTTAATTTTATGATCTGAATGAAATCTGTTTTTATTCACTTTCTGGATCTGTACACTCTGTGTATACATGTCGATGAACTTCTTTACTATTAGTCACCCCAAACAGTCCATGCTTCGCAGCTGCCAGGTTATTTACGCACTGATCCAGGAGTGCCTGCAGGGCAGTTCTCTTCCCCTTTGCCCACCTCCCAGATCACTACTAAGGCTGTGCTCCGCTCCAGGCCAGCAGGCTGAGCATGCCACAGATCCCCTTTCAATCTGCCTTTCCTTCTGCATCAACTCACATGGGGCTTCTCAGCTTTAAGTCTGGACTCTCCTCACCTCTGCCCTGTTTATATATGGGATCTGACGGCAACCTGTCAGCCTCCCAATCGGTCAGAAGGCCCCAACATTGCAGCTACTGGGAAGGTTCTTGGACTCCAATGGCAAAGATGCTCCCAAACTCAGCTGTGAGTCTCCCTCCCACCACCTACCACTGGCTCTGTGAGGCTACCGGTTCTAACCAGAACTGGGATAAAGAAACATCCGTTCATGGAGAAACAAAGAACAGACCCTCACGACTCCACCCTACCCTTGTTTTTTATTTTTTTATTTTTTTATTTTGTGTGTGTGTGTGTATGTGTGTAAACATATATGTTTTAGAGAGAGATATTTTTGGTATAGGGCAGGCATGTGCACTTGCCAGAGAGACAGAGAGACAGAAAGCGAGAAATGGGATAGCCATACCACAATCCTATCTCCTCTATTCTCCTCTCAGGATTCTGGGCATGCATGAACAGGTGCCCAGTGTGAGTTTAAGTTGCTGGGTCCAAGACTTGAACTGTGGTCATCTACATGGGAGTCCAGTGACGTAACCATTATGCTGATCGCTGGTCTCCCCCTTTTGTTGTATTTTAATACAGCTCTGTACAAACTAAGATGAAGAAGTACTCGGGAGAACTATACACATGATAAGATTATCTTTTATTAGAGATCTTATATTACATATTCCCAAAAAGATATAAAATCTTCCAAGAGAAAATATCAAAACCTGTTGATTCCAAGGTGAACAAACTGATCAAAATAAAAGCAAACATTTTCTTCCAGACAAAGGAATGTGAAAACATTTCAGCAGAATACAACAAAGACATGGGAGATAATTACAATGTTTTTACAACACATTTTACAGCATTTTATTTTAATCAGTATTTGGAGAAAACAAGGATGCTGAATTCTTGAACACTGCAGTTATAACCCCAAACTAAAATTTCAAAGAAATGAAAAACAAGAGAGCGTGTGATAGTAATGAAGCACTTGGTCAATTAAACATCTGTGATAATAAAGTCATAAAACCTAACCAAATATGCCACAGCGATCACAACGGAAGTGTACGGTTTGAGTGTCAGAGACACAAAATGATTTACTCAGTTCTTGACCACAACCCAAAGCAAAAGCATCCTCTCTTCATTTCCCTGATGGTTTATTCTAAAAATAACTGAAGAAGCAGAAAATTGCTGGTTAAAGAGAATTTCTGCTTTACCTGTGAACAGCTGGTGGCAACACACACTAAAACCCCGACTGACATGGGACGCAACCATCTCTAACACCCAGAAGTGGCAAAGCCACTGTTATTGCATCATGATTTTTAAAATTTCATTTGATCAGAATTTCCAGAATGATTAAGCACATCTACTTAACCACAGAACACAGTGAACTCCCCGAGGAAGGTTTTATATTTAAGATGCAATGAAAACACTGATCTTATTCCTGGGATTTGCTTCTGGCAATCTTAACATCTGTAGATGTTCACACAAAGGAAGTCTGTCTTTCTTTTATTAGTTGTTTATTCCCAAAATATGAGGAAGGAAACTTACAGTACATGTTTATTGCATGAAAATATCCTCCTGTAATATCGTTATCAACACTGGTATTGTTTCCTTCATTATTAAAGGCAAAGGAGTTTATGAATTTAACTTAGCGATAATCTTAGGAGCTGCATCTTGAGTGAAAATTCACATGATCACCGGACTACATGATGAAACAGAAATTAGGCTTTAATTTCTCTACAGAGATGTGGGAATCACAAGAGGTAAATGGAAGCTGAAAGTCAGATAATAGTAAGTCTAGGAACTCAGAATTTTCAAAACTGTACACACTAAAAGAATCCTTTTCAAACTGAAAGGGAATGTTCTGAACACTGCTGATGTTGCTGTTTTTTAACGTGAAGGAATAATGAGCCCACAGAAGTTTTATTAAGAGTATTGTAATGGCACACGGGCTTAGAACTTCATTTTGAGGTTAGCATATACAAACGTCTGGAACTGACTAAACCAACACTGTTCTTTACGAAGATACGTCAGAACGGGCTGCATCTAAGTGGGTTTCACACGGTCGATTTTAAAGCATTTTCTCTTCAATATGGTTAACCCCTGTGCAATGCGAATGGTATCGGGACTGTGCATGTTACAAAATCTTTGCTTCAAGTTGCAGTTTTCTTGGCAGCATATTGGAATTCACGATATTTCTCTTCCTTGTTTTGTTTTCTGACATCTCAGTACATTCAAATAGTCAAAATGTTTAGAGTAACATCACCACAGACTTAATGAAACAGATCAGAATGTGGCCAGCATTGTCAGGCAACAGTTACACAATTCATGTGTCATAGAAAGAACCCACTGGCCCCCACTCCCCCACCCCCACCCCCAACAGTAATATGGACACCAAAAGATTTCACAAGACTTATAAAAAAATAAGGCACATTTATTTTGATATGGTAATTTTAAAATAGAAAACCCCATCTCAGAACACCTGTATTCAAATGAGCTGTGTAAAAAGACACCTTGCGGTACCTAAAATAGGTTTATGGTACCCATGGAATTGCTTCTTCTGTTTTCGTGACAATGGAATAAATTGCACCTATCCCACACTGTCAAGTAATGAAGATATGCCTCTTTTTCTACTGCTGAATGACTCCGATTCAGATTTCTGGAATACTTACAAAGAGTGGGAAGAAAGGGGTCCGAAGGGTCATTAGAAAATCAACTAAGTTTCTCATAAGGGTGGGTGGATTGCACTTTTCCACATATTTCAACACACAACACTTTTCTAACTTGTAGGAATGACTGCAACCATTTTGGCCATTAGCTATTATTACCCACCAGTGTTCTTATTCCATTGAGATCAAGTGGGTACTTTTGTAAAACTAATGAAGGACCTGCAACACAAATCCACTTACGAACTCTTCACAACCCCCAACACAGACAGAATGAGTTAGCATTTAACCTGAGATACAATCGGTTGAGAGGTTGTCTTTAAACAATTCTTCACTTGTTGCATCGATTCGTACTGGTGGTGGTAGCTCACGGGAGGAACTCAAAAAGAAATTAAAAAAAAAAAAAAAAGAAACCTGGTTGAAAGCATGGCTTTTTTTTTTTTTTTTTTTTTCTCTTTTGGTTTAAAAAAAAAAAAAAAAAAATCACAGATTTCGTGTTCTCACAGTAGCCAGAAGCTAAAATAATGTGCTTCTTTATTGCACGTCAAACCAAGAAAGGTATCAAAGCCAATGCTTCCCAATCCACATGTGAAAGTCAGGTCCACCTCAATCGGATGCGGAAGGTGCTGATCTCCATGGGACTCAAGCTGATCTCACTTACGTTTTGGGCGTCCGGGGGTGAATGCATCAAAGACAGTGACGAAGGTGTGAGACTTTCAACAGTAAACTTGTTAAACAGTTTCTGTACCAATATCTAAAAAGAAAATGATATACAATTTGCATGCTTAGGTCAACGTTGCAGAAAGATTAGTCGTGCATCTATTATAAATTCAGTGGAAACCAGTATAAGAAAGTAAAACAGTAAGTTGCGACTCCTTTTCAGGAAAAGTAAGGGGATTAAATATGTGTGCACATGCGTGGACACACAGACGGGGGAAGTTCTGGGACGTGGTAATGGGCATAGGCAGCTTGTGCTGTAATCCCTGAGAATTTTCTCATGCACAGGGGGGTACTTTTTAAGTGAGAAAGGACACCCGCTGGCCAGAGAGTTTTAAAACCATCCTTAACCTCCTCTAGTCAATACTTAGGAAGGTGGTCCTGGGCCACTTCCTCTTGTTCCAACAGAGTTGAGTGACAGGCACAGGCTCGTTGACGGAGAGCGGGCTGTGCTGCCACCTCTGAGTCCCTCACGTGGGCAGGTCACTGACAAGTACTCCCCTTGCCCTCCCCGGCTGTACTAATGTGTCTCTCCGGGTAACAGAGACCCCTCAACACTTGATGCCTTCACGGTAGGGCGCTCACAATTGAGTCTACTCAGATCACTAACCACAGGGAGAGGGCAACTATAATGAAAAAACAGCAAAGACATCAGTGCTTCCTTGGTGCCGACTCCACGCAGGGGGGGATGAAAGAAATGTAGATTTAGGGTTCCTGCCAGATTTCTTCTTTTCTTTTCTGACCCTAGAAATGTGCCAATTTACAGGGTTGGAAGTGAATTGTTAAAGTCTGGTCTTCAGTATCTATGGGGCTTTGGAGGAGAGTAGAGCTGAGCTGCTCGGAGGGGCAGACTTGCCGGGCCGTAGAGCCAGCTCACTGATTTCTCCATTAGGGCAGGAGACAGAAGGTTTGTTTCTTCCAGGACAGGCTTGACAGACTGTCAGAAAGACCAACTTGAAGGAAGACAAAACTAGGTAGCCAGAGAGCAGTGTTCAGATGGAGGACTTTTCTGGCCTGCTGGGAGCTGACTCTGACAAAGCTGGATTGGTCAGAAGACTGCACTTCCACTGACTTCCAGAATCAGACTAGAGCTAAGCACACTGCCTCTTGAGCCGTGGCCGACTGGCCCACCGACCACACTCCTCCTCTCGCTCCCCCAGATCACCTCGTACCATAGGCCTTGTCTTGGCCTTCATGGCACTCGGCCTACCATGGCTGACGTGAATGGTTTATAAGCGTGTGCAGCCTGGAGGAGGAGGAGAAAGCGGGGGTAGTGGAGAGAAGGTCCTCTGTAAGTTGGAAAGGAAATGACAAGAGCACGGCCCTCAAACATGTGCAGGTTCTAGCTCCACACCTGAGACCACGGCGAGACGGAGGGCTGAGGAAGCGCTTTATGACAGCAAGATTCCAGCGACCTTGCAGGCGGAGGGAACGAAGCAGCGAAGAAGCAATGAATCACTACCTGTCAGAACTGTTGGCAGCAAGTGAGGACTTCAAAGCACAGGAACTCGATACACAAAAAGGACCGTTCAGCTTACCTTTCCCTGAGTAGTAGAACAGAGCAGCCCGGTGTCTCTGCTAGAGAACTGGCAGTCAAAGCCTTTTCTGTGGAGGATGAAGGCTGCCTCATCGGAATACCCGCTGCCCACCTGCAAGAGAGCAGAATGTGACACATGGCAGAAACCTCCGAGGAGGCATTACCAGTACTGCGTATTTTTTTTTTTTTTGGAGAGTTTTTTGCTATAGGGCACATGTGCTTGCCAGACAGACAGAGACAGAGACAGAAAGCTAGAAATCACCCCCGAGGGGGGATGGCCACACCGCAATCCCTTCTCCTCCATTCTCCTCTCGGGATCTTGGGCACGCACACACACACGTGCCCGGCGTGAGTTTAGCCCCCAGGTCCAGGACTCGAACTGCGGTTGACTACATGGGAGTCCAACGACATAGCCATTACGCTAACTGCTGGTCGCAGTACTGCATATTCTGCAATCTGGTGGCTGGCTCCCAAGTCACAGTCCCTCAGCAGTGAAGTTGGCCACTCCAGTCCCCTCAGGGTCCCTGTTTACGGTAGCAGCTGGCAGATAGCGCCTGTCTGCCAGCTGTCATCGTCCCCACCCCAAGCGCCTGAGCCCAACGGGATGAGGGTGTAAGGTTCCGGAACACGCAACCTCAAAGTGTGGTTTTCCCCACAGTCCCTGAGAACCGGGGCTCCTTTAGTGTAAGTACTATATGTTGTTTGTTCAAAGTTTCTTCAAATAAAGCACGGCATGATCATTTTTCTTTTAACATGTTCATCATTTAAATAAACTGTACCTGAATTTAGTCCTCATCTGGCCACTGAGTGACATAACATCTACCTTAAAATTAAAATGTGCTTCTCTCTTGACTACTAATTTTTGTTAACAGTATTAAAAGTCTTAGTCCTGGGAGCAGCTGATGGTGTAATGGTTATGTCGCTGGACTCCCATGTAGTCAACTGCAGTTCGAGTCTCAGACCTGGTGGTTTAAAACTCACACGGGGTGCATGTGCGTGCGTGCCCAAGATCTTAGAAGAAAATGGAGGAGAAAAGATTGCAGCATGGCCATCCCCCTGGGTAAGGGTGATTTTGTGCTTTCTGTCTGTCTCCAGTGAGGGCACCAGCTATATAGCAAAAAATCTCTCTCTAGAAGAAAAAAAAGTCTCAATCCTTAATGTACTGTTTCATTATTTTTATACAAGAGATACTGGGAACCAGCAGTTGGCGTAACGGCTATATCGCTGGACTCCCAAGTAGTCAACCGAGGTTCACATCCCAGACCCGGTGGCTTAAACTCATGCCAGGCGCGTGTGCGTGCGTGCCCAAGATCCTGAGAGGAGAATGGAGGAGAAGGGATTGCGGCGTGGCCATCCCCCCTGGGGGGTGATTTCTCGCTTTCTGTCTCTATGTCTCTCTTTGTCTGGCGAGCACACGCACCCTATAGTGAAAAAAAAAAAAAAGAGATACTAAATTGAATTAGTTAGGCTTATGAACTACAGGGGATATTTACTACCTTGATGTACTTAAATTCATGACAGGAGCTATTTTTCCCAGGTGGCCAAAAAGAAAATAACACACATAATAGTCAAGTTCAGGGATAAATATCCACTTTCTTGCAGTAAAATTTCTTCTAGCCATTTAAATGACAATGTCATGACGGTTCAGGTCTTTGAATATTACAATGAACTTCATAAATATTATGTTTCCTAAAGTGGGAAGATGTTTATGACAACAAGCAAAATGAATGAAAAATCCTCAGAAAAATTAATAAATGTATAGTTACACCAAGGAGAGGGATGTGTTTTTGGTACGGATACAGTGATAGATAAAAATGATCCACTTGTCTCCCTTCTCTGGCCACACGTCTGACTAGGCCGAAGCTCTGGGTCATTCTCACCAGGAAATATGATTTTTTTAATGCGCTACAGAGATACCCTTTCTGAAGAGCTGCCAGCTTCTCTGCCACTGATTTGATTTTAATGTGTCCGAACAGTTTACAGCTGTCCTCCCCTTAGCGTCTTGGCTGAAGTCACTGATGTTAGGGCTTTTCACACTGGTATTCTGCAAGGGTACTGCTAAGATTTTGTTTGAAGGGAGAAAATAAAGCCATATAAGGAATTCCGAGTCATCACAGGACCACATAGTACACACGGCAAGTTCAAATCGATACAAGATTCCTAATGCTATTTCACCCAAAATACAAAGCATACGAAAATCCTTCATTTTAAGATCACCAGAATAACAGAGAACTCTAGCATGTACCAACTGTGAACATTTGGAATAGTCATTGATTCATCCCACGTAGGAGTTTCCTTGTCTGTAAAATGGAGCTAATGTCTCTGTTTCTCCAAAGAGTCACCATGGGGACTGATGTGTTGAAAATGCAGGCTGAATGTCCTTTATCTAAAATGCTTGGGTCAGACGTGCTTTAGATTTCAGACTTTCAAATACTTGCCGATACACAATGACAAATCTTGGGGATGGGGCCTAAGTCTAAATACGAATTAATGTATGTTTTCTATACATCTTGCAAGCGCATACCGTATTTTGGTATCCCTGCAGCATTTTGACTAACTTGTCACACGAGATCAAGTGTGAATTTTCCACTTGTGGCAGCATGTTGGTGCTCAAAGAGCTTAAGATTTTGGAACATTTTGGATTTTGGATGTTTGGGTGAGGGATGCTCAACCTGTCCTCTGCAAGGTACCCTCCTGTAGCACTGGAAGGCAGAACAGGCGCGTGCAGACGCTCTACAGATGGGAGGTTCAGAGTCTGGGGGTCGTCAAGACTGCCTGAGATCTGGATTCTCGCCCTTCTGACCTCAGCCACACCAGGGGTTCTTTTTCCATAAAATGGAGATGAAATGAAAAAAAAAAAAAAAAAAAAACCAAAACAGCATAACAAGAACTCAGTCTGGTATCTAGCACATACGAAGCCCTGACTATGGTAACTATCTTTACTATCAATGTTATCACGAAATAAGTATTAGTCATGATTGGTGAAATAGAAATGAAAGAATACTCATTTAGGGCTGGCAGGTGGCATGGTAGTTAAGGGCACTGGACTCCCACATGGCCAACCACGGTTCAAGTCCCAGACCTGGCAGTTTGCTTTCTCACTTCTTCTGTTTCTCTCTCTTCCTCTCTGGCCATATTAAAAAATAATAATAATAATAAGTAAAATAAATAAAAGTTAAAAAAAATCTAAAAAAATACTCATTTAACTTTATCTTTTAGAGAGAGATTTTTGCTATAGGGTGCATGAGCTTGCTAGAGAGACAGAGAGACAGAAAGCGAGAAATGACCATGCCTTGATCCCTTCTCCTCCTTTCTTCTCTTGGGATTCTGGGCATGCACGCACATGCAGCCAGCATGAGTTTCAAGCCTCCAGGTCTGGGACTCAACTGCAGTTAACCACGTGGGAGTCCAGTGATGTAACCATTACACCATCTGCTAGTTCCATCATTTAAGTTTTTATTCATACATTTCCTTTATGTACATTATAATTTGTAGCTAAATAATCAGGGAACCCCCAAATTATACATCTATAGTATATAAAAATCATAACAAGGTGCTTATTTGGATTTACAGATTAGATGGACTCTTCGTCAGACTTTTAAAAGCACTTGCCATTATTACCCTAAAGCCTTTGACCATTTGAACTGATCAAATCACCCTATAAGCCATCCGATAGTAGGGGATTGTTAAAATTCTTGCAACACTTTTGTTTCAGGAATAATAATTTCCTAAGGCCTTTAGTAACTAAAGAGGTCGAAAAAAGTGGGAAGGAAAATGCTGCTGAAACTCTCTTTTTGCATCCTACGAGAGATTTAAAACATCGGTACGAAAGTAGAGATAGGATCATAAAAATTGTTTTTTACCAATAGACATTATACTTTCTCTAAAAACGAAAATTAATCACTTTTAAGAGGACTAACTGAAATAGCAATCATCTTGTCCAAGTTTTAAAAAGTCAAATATTCATGAGCCTATCAGTTTCAAGCAAAAATACCTGAGGCAAAGCAGCAGTTTTTCAGTTTCAAAGTCTGTCTCAACATTTTATTTCCAAGAAAACAGTTTTTCAAAGTAGGGAAACTGTGAACTTAACTTGAATATGCATCGGGAAAACAGAGCCCTTCGTGCCGTTGTACTGTATGGTCGGGAGAGTAATCAAGTGTGAGAGAAGGGCTCTTACGCTCACTACCGTGCAGGAAATGCGCACTCCAGGAGAGAGGCATGGGGTGGGAAGAAAACCCCGCGTCTGAGATGGCGCCAAAGTGTGCTAGGGGAGTGTGTCTTTTTTTTTTAAAGAGTGATTTTTGCTATAGGGTGTGTGCACTCCCCAGAGAGACAGAGAAACTCAGAGAGATGAAAGTGAAAAATCATGCCCCGGGGGGATGGCCATGCCGCAATCCCTTCTCCTCTATTCTCCTCTTGGGATTTTGGGCATGCACGCACATGTGCCCTGCATGAGTTTCAAGCTGCTAGGTCTGGGTCTCGAACTGCGGTTGATAATATGGGAGTCCAGCAATGTAATCACCATGCCACCTGGTGGCCCGAAGGTGTCTTTGTCAAGCACAGGGGAATCACTGTGGGGATGCAGCCCTGAACCAAGGTGGAGACTCAAAAGCCACATGGTGCGAGTCCGCTGCAAAAATTAACTTCGGGGTGAAACCCAACAGTCAGGGTGTGCTGGGTCTGTGAGCTTTCCCAGCATGTCCGTGGAGACGGAGGAAGATGGTTTGGCTGGCAGATAGAAGCCACCAGGTACAGTGGGGCTTAGAGAAAGCCAGACAGAGCAGGGTGTGGTTCCACTGGGGCCCTGTTCCGCGACTTGAGTTATGGCGTCCCCTGTGAAGTCTGTGCACGAGGCCAGCACCTGGGCGCCTGTGTGTGCAGGGTCTCAGCAGAATGCTTTCGTCGACTGACTCATCTCATCCCAACTTTCAAAACACATGAGTTCGTATACCAGTTCTCTGTGCCTTATTTTTTTAGTTTTAAATTTTTTTATGAGAGAGGCAGAGACCATGCACCCCCAATAGGGTCCTGACACCTCAATTCCCCGCCAGCTTCAGCCTTCCCAGCTCAGGAGCACATGCGTGCCTGGCACGCAGGGAAGTCTCGGTCCCC